TCAAGACAACCCACAAATTTGCTTGGACGTTAGAGTGCGAGCAAGCGTTTCAAGCACTAAAAACAACATTGACGAGTCCTCCAGTATTATCCAAACCAGTCATGAATCTACCACTGTCTCTTTATTTATCAGTAAGGGAAACATCCATAAGTGTAGTTTTGGTACAGGAAAAAGATGGTATACAACATCTAGTGTATTTTGTAAGCAGAGTTCTACAAAGAGCAGAACAACGTTATCAGAAGATAGAGAAAACAACTTTGATCGTAGTGTTCTCAGCTAGACGTCTACGACCATATTTCCAGAGTTTTAGTATTATTATCAGGACCGATCTACCCATCCGACAGGTTTTACAAAAACCAGATCTTGCTGGAAGAATGATGAAATGGGCTATCGAATTGTGTAAATATGAAATCAAATATGAGCCTAGAGGACCGATCAAAGCTCAAGTATTAGCAGATTTTGTGGTGGAGCTCGCATCGCCCCTGAACACCACAAATACCGAAGCCCCTTGGATCCTCTCGGTTGATGACTCGTCCAACTTACATGGTAGCGGTGCGGGTATTATTATCGAAGCGTCAAATGGAATGATGATTGAACAATATTTACGTTTCGTGTTCAAAGCGAGTAATAATCAAGCCGAATATGAAGCATTGATAGCAGATATCAAGTTAGCATTAAAGATGGGAATCCGAGATCTAACAGTTCGAACTGACTCATAGTTGGTATCAGGGCAAGTCAGTGGGAATTTTCAAGCTCGTGATCCCCACTTAGCAGAATATGTAAAAAAGGTGAAAACTTTATCTGATTCTTTCCAAAATTTCAAATTAACATATGTGCCTCGTGAGCAGAATAGCAGGACCGGTTTGTTATCTAAACTAGCTAGTACCAAGCGCCCAGGAAACCACACTTCAGTCATTCAAGAAACACTTATCCACCCTAGCGTCACCACCGATGATAATGAAGGTGAGGTTTCTCAAATTTTATGCATTAATGAACTTTATACGTGGATGACACCGTTGAAGGAGTATTTAACCAATGCGACTTTACCGAGAGATGAGGAAGCTCAAATGGCCCTTAAAAGGAAAGCTACACAATTTGTGTTAATCGAAGGTGTCCTCTATAAGAGAGGATTATCTGCGCCACTATTACGATGCCTAACAGAGGAGGAAACCCAACTTATTGTTAGAGAGGTTCATGAAGGTATATGCGGAAGTCATATAGGTGGCAGGACTTTAGCATTCAAAGTGCTTCGAGCAGGCTATTACTGGCCAACACTACGACATGATTGTATGCAATATGTTAAGAAATGTGTCAAATTCCAACAACACGCAAATCTTCATATAGCGCCACCCGAACCACTACACTCCATAACGACCTCCAAGCCTTTCTGTAAATGGGGAATTGACATATTGGGACCCTTCCCAGTTGTAGTCTGACAGCTTAAGTTTTTTATTGTAGCCATAAAGTATTTTACCAAATGGATTGAAGCAGAACCAGAGGCCACTATCACAACTGATAAGATATGTCGTTTTTTGTGGCAACATGTTATTTGTAGATACGGGTTACCCCACACTTTAATTTCGGATAATGGGACACAGTTTGCCAGTACCAGGGTCAAAGATTTCTGTGGAGACCTTAACATACATCAGATTTTTACCTCAGTAGAACATCCAGAAACCAATGGACAGGTTGAAACAGCAAATAAAGTAATTCTTAACGGCCTTAAACATAAACTTGGAGAGATTAAAACGTTCTGGGTAGAAGAATTACCTAGTGTTCTTTGATCTTATCACACGACTCCGCAATCAACCACCAAGGAAACACATTTTCGCTTGGTATATGGGACCGAGGCAATCATTTTGGTAGAGTTGATTTATCCATCTTCCAGGGTGTAAGGATTCAATGAAGCAGTGACGGATCTTGACCATTGATCTTGAGGGGGTCAAATAATATATTATTAATAAATAATAAATAAATATAAAAAGAAGAAAAAATATGAAAAGGTGAAAAGATAAAATTGTAGATATATACTTAAATATATTAAATGATCATTAAGTTGAAGGGAAACAAAATCATAAATTATATGAGAGTTATAAAATTGAGAAGGGGCTGAAAGGATAAAATTGTAAATATACAAGTAAATATATTAAATGTTCATTATGTTTGGGGACCAAAATCATAAATTACATGGGGTTACAAAACTTTGGGGGGGCCATAATCCGCCACTGCAATGAAGATAAATCTATTCAACAAATACAAGCCAATTTGGACACAATCGAAGAAGTTCGTGAACACGCTCGAATCCGGTCCTATATGCTGAAACGTAAGTGTGAAAAACAACACATTCAGAAGGTTCGAGGTCGAGAGTTCATTGTAGGTGATTTGATTATGAAGCGCGCCCAGTCGAATCAAATTTACAATAAACTTTCCCCAACATGGGTCGGACCCTATCGTATATTCGTTGTTATTGGCAAAGGTGCTTATTGATTGGAAACCACAGATGTGGGCTTGGTACCAAGGACATGGAATGCAACAAGCTTGCGATTCTATTACAGCTAGTTAATGTTGGACCTTGAGTTGTACTCTTTTCCTTGGAAGTTTTTTACAGAACAATCAGATATTTTTCTTTCAAGGTTTTTAATGAGGCAACGATATCAATAAAAAGGTCCCTTTAGACATTCTTAAGTGTTTATGCTACTACGGTCACAATGTGACCTAGACTCGAAATGCGAGTTATGTGCGAAATGCGTACTATGTACGAAATACGTACTACGATCAAAATGTGACCTAGACTCAAAATGCGAGCTATGTGCAAAATACGCACTATGTACAAAATACGTACTATGGTTAGAATGTGACCTAGACTCAAAACGCGAGCTATGTGCGAAATGCGCACTATGTACGAAATACGTACTATGGTCAAAATGTGACCTAGACTCGAAATGCGAACTATGTGTGAAATGCACACTATGTACGAAATACGTACTATGGTCAGAATGTGACCTAGACTCAAAACACGAGCTATGTACGAAATACGTACTATGTACGAAATACGTACTATAGTCAGAATATGACCTAGACTCAAAACGCGAGCTATGTGCGAAATGTGCACTATGTACAAAATATGTACTACGGTCAGAATGTGACATAGACTCGAAATGCAAGTTATGTGCGAAATGTGCACTATGTACGAAATACGTACTATGGTCAGAATGTGACCTAGACTTGAAACGCGAGCTATGTGCAAAATGCGCACTATGTACAAAATACGTACTATGGTCAGAATGTGACCTAGACTCGAAACGCGAGCTATGTGCGAAATGCGCTCTATGTATGAAATACGTACTATGGTCAGAATGTGACCTAGACTCGAAACGCGAGTTATGTGCGAAATGTGCACTATGTACGAAATACGTACTATGATGAGAATGTGACCTAGACTCGAAACGCGAGCTATGTGCAAAATATGCACTATGTACGAAATACGTACTATGATTAGAATGTGACATAGACTCGAAATGCGAGCTATGTGTGAAATGTGCACTATGCGAGTTGTAATGAGTAAAATGCGCACTATGCGAATTGTATACGAAATTTATATCAACGTAAATTGTACCAAACGTGCTATTATTTTGTAAAGAGATTTAAACTTGATCGGGGGCGATACATTAACTAGGGAAGACGAGTTAATTTTAATTGACGTCATTTAGCAAAAATAACTTTTTAAGTTCATCAAGAGTGACTAAGAATAAAGATGACTACAACATTTATAAAACATAAATATTGTTCAAGTAGTGGATACAAGATAATAGTCATTTTGAATTACAAAATAGGCACCTTCAAATAATAAAATACTTCATGTAAGATATTAGGTGCTTGATTCTTCATTCTCCTCATCTTCATCTTCTTCTTCAACAATCATTCCATCTACCACACTTTTGATAGGGTCGGCTAGGGAGAAGTCAACATCTGGGGTGATGATTTTAGCTTGTTCCAAAGCGTTATCAAAACCTGACTTAAACATTTTAGCACATTCATCAGATAAATCTTCAATGTGTCGGGCCTGACCTTTTATTTGAATGTTTAGATCTTCTATTTTCTTGTTACAGTCACAAACTTTTGTATTTTGCTTCTTCCAAAATGACCTTATATTTTTTTTCATTAACCACAACATCATTTCACTCTTAATGCATCTGTACTAATTTTATATTAAGATAGAAGAGGACATAACTCAACATATTCACTGATAAAAGATATAAGATATAAGTATCACTAAAATTCTTTTGAAGTCTAATAAATCTCTCAAAACGATGGTTGATGCATATATTTATCTTGTAACATTTTCAGATCATAGATCCAAAAAAATTTGATTTTATCAAACGGTTAAAAAATTAATTTTTTTTTAAATAGATTAAATCATCCTAGGTGAAACAAGTTTGGAGTAATGAAATGGTAATTAAAAAATTACATTTAGTTGAAATTATGTTTTTAAACCTGATTTTAATATTATTTAGAAAAGAAAACGTTGGATAGCACGAATTATGTATAAATATAATTATAATGAATAGCACGAATTTTTCACTATTTTTTTTTTGAAAAATAAGATTTTTATTTGTATTAAATATATTATTTATTACATAATTATTTTTATAATTAAGTCATTAAAATAATAAAAATATTTAAATAAATATGATTAAATTTAATTTATTATATTTATATTAAAATATTACATTATTTAAAAAAAGATATAAATTTATTATTAAAATAGATAAATTATATTATTATATCATTTATTTCGATAAAAGAAATATTTTTTTAATTTTTTTTAAAATTATAATTTTTTTATTTCGACAAGAATAATTATAATTATTCAGATTCAAAATAGATATATAAATTAAAAATGACAATAAATTTATATATATTTTAAAATAATGTAATTTATCCAAAGTCCAGTTTTTTGCACTATATACACGACGCGATTTCCTCCTTGGCATCATCCATCAATCACACTTCAACCAAGCATCAAAGCCATGGCTTCCTTCAACTTCTCTATTGTCCTCTCCCTCCTCCTGCTGCTCCTCACCCACGCAAACGCAACCAACACCTTCTCCTTCACCATCAGAAACTTCAAATCTCAAAACCTCATCCTCCAACGTGACGCCAGAATCTCAAAATCTCAAAAACATATACAAAACAAGATTCAATCTCACTTGTTAATATAATACTTTGTTATATAATTAAATTATAAAATTAAAGAAGCATACAGTCACCATTAACATGCTGTTTATGATCTATATATATTTTAGGATAAATATATGAACAGAATAATGAATAATGTGTGTGTGGCTTTAGGTTACAAATACAATATCTTCATTCAGATTATCGTTTGAAAAATGTACGTAAGTTGTGAATGAAAAAGCAATGTATTTGGTGACAAGAGAATAATTTGAGACAGATTGATGATAGCTATGTAAGCTACAGAAAGAAGAAAAGTTTAGTATATATACAACTATTGTCTATTATCTTCCTTCAACAATATAAAGACCTTTGTCAGGGGATAAACTTCACGTAACCATGTAAAAATACATTGTTAACATTAAGTAGTTTTAAGTTTCATCCATTGATGTAGATGCCAAAGCAAGAAAATCCTGACAATAGTGAATTTAGATAATAGAAAGTGTCTGAGTAAATTTGGCATCCAATTTGAGTCTTATATTTCATTTGTGCCATGAGACTCAATGGCATTTTTTAGGAGGCAAATCCGTAAGGATTCATCTATTAGTTAATAGAGAATGACCAAAACATGAGGTTATGTGAAAAATAATTAAGGAAGTGAACTATGCTAAAGTGTAGTTCATTTCTAATGTGATGTTGTTAACGACGATGATAATAATAAAAGTGGATGAAATGCGTGGGAGAATCCGCAAACGATATACTTAAAAAGCATAATCATGGAGGCAAAAACTCCATCTATAATTTTATAGAATTTAGATACTAAAAAAACTCAAATTCTAAAATTAGATAATATTGACTAAACATTTCAGTCTCTATATATGATAACTAGAATATTTTCTAATGACAAAAAACAATATGGATTCTAATTATATTTTAATAAGAGACAAAAAATTGTATCTAAATAAATAAATAAACAAATAACAATTTACGATTATTAATCACAAAACATGTCTAGGGTTTTTTTAATAATAACGAATTTTTACATAAACGATTTCTTCTCCATTTGAAATATAAAATAATGATAAATTAATGTACGTGTTGAATTGATTGAAGAACATGCGTATTTATTATAAATTTCGTATACCTACTGTATGAATAGATAGGAAGAAAGGTTAGTCTTTGATTCAATAAAGTGGGACAATGGCAGACCCATAACAAAACAAGCAAAAATTATATCATATACATTGAAGAATAAATAACAAATTGAAAAATAAAAAGAATAATAAAACTTAATGAAATTCGTTACAATTGATAGTGGTCCTCACCTAATATCTTCGTGTCATGCATTGGACCATTCTCTTATCCGTGTAACAACCCTACATGCATGCACACGTTAACAAATTAAGCCTTCGTTCCATTTCTCCCCTTAGTTTTCATCTTTATATTTAAAAAATAATTAATTAATCCTCCAACCTATAAAATATTTAAATATATAACATTTACTTGGTAAAAATGATTAATTTTAATTTTAATTTTTTTATATCTAAATTTAATATTTAATAATGTTTTTATTATTGTAAAGTTGATAAAAGATCTAAATTTATACATTTTTAAAACTTGAGATTAATTAATCAACTTTTATATATAAGGACTAAAATTATAATTGTAAAAAAAAATTCAAATTTAATCCATTTTAATTCGAGTAAAGTATAATTCACATTTAAAAAATACGTGGGTTGATTAATTGGTTTTGAAATAATTTCGTAATACTTAAATGCATAAGTTTTTATTTTATTTTTTGCATGAGCCAGTTAGTTATTTGATAATAATTTTGTAAAGTCATGTTTACGTACTTAATTATGCCAATAAATTTTTGTCATTTTTTATTGACATGTTTTATCATGCAAGTTAAAAACGTTAAAAAAAAAAGTTAACATTTTCGTCTAAAAAAATATAGGAAAATTCCTTGAATTTTGTATGCTTTTTTCAATAACAGATTAGTCTCTATAATTTGCTATCATATTATTACGTTCGTGAGTCTATCATCTCTAATTAATGGGCTAGAACGTGGACATAACTTCACATTCTTTTGAAGTCTAATAAAAGAACTAACTTCCCAATAAATCAAAGTTTAAAGATATAAAATATAAGTATTACTTTATCTCTCGAATAAGCTAAAAATACATTTTCTGAACGAGAAAGATAGTGTCTTAGTATTATGTTCAAGATATTATCTGTTTGTAATATTTTATTTTTAAAGACATATTGATGGATTGTGAGAGAAGAATGTATATAAATTTCATTTAGTATTGACTCATAAACCATATAGGACTCGTGAGTATACTAGAATATAAGTTTCCAATCGAAAATTAGGGGTATGAGAGCGGAGTGAGACTTTGCTCTCGGTCCCACAGTAGATACTAATGTTTTATCCCGGCTTCATATCCATTATGATAACATCATACCTACATCTAATATATTATTTATTTTGGAACTCTCGTCTATCATGATTTCCTCCTTAAAAGTGTATTTATGGATTGAGAGAGAATAATATATATAAACTATCAATAACTTTGACTCTTAAATGATGTGAAACTCATTATGCAAATCATATACTAATAAATACTTTTAAAAAATATAATTATTTTATTCACTCAAAAAAATGCAGTATATATGTTAAGTAAAGGTACAAATTTCAATGTGTTGTATTGGAATTTTATTCTAATTTTTATTTTAATTGTTTAGTGTTTGTTTACATAATCAAATTACATTTTCAAGAATCATATATTTATGTAAAAGAAATACTATAGTTTAAAATGATATTTCTTTGTATAATTAAAAAAATATATAATTACATTTTACTGTTCTAAATGTAGTAGTAAAAAACTTGTATATATAATTTTTTTTCTTGCACATAATGTTTTCTCACAGAGTAAATGAAAATTGTTTGGCATATCAAATTATTATGTTTATTTCAAGAAATAAAAGACACCAAATTATTTTTTAATAAACACAAAATATGTATTCTCATGTTTAAATTTCTCAAAAAAAAGCGCGAAATAAATGTTTCTTTAAAATATGTAATATATTATTTGTCAGCAATTTCCTTCTTTTTTATATATATATATATATATATATATATATATATATTATGTAAAAAAATATTTGTTATTACTTTCAAACAAAATTAATTACTGAAATAAACATGAATACCAATCATAATAAATTATGAAAATAATTTAATTTTCATAATTATCTGATAAAGTAAAATGTATAAATCCCACGTGTTGTACGTGTTTAACTAACTTGATCGAACATTAAATTGATTTGTATGAAAAAATGACCATAAAAATAACTGTGCGTAAGAATGTAATTTAACAATTATTTTGCGTGTTTGATTGCATAATGTAAAAGTTAGCGTACTACCAAAACCTAGAATCTACAGGCACAGTCCTGTTTTTGTACTATAAATACACGACGCAACTTCCTCCTTGGCATCACCCATCGATCACACTTCAACCAAACATCAAAGCCATGGCTTCCTTCAACTTCTCTCTTGTCCTCTCCCTCGCCCTGCTGCTCCTCACCCACGCAAACGCAACCAACACCTTCTCCTTCACCATCAGAAACTTCAAATCTCAAAACCTCATCCTCCAACGTGACGCCAGAATCTCCTCCGGCACCTTACGACTCACCAACGTTAATGCCGCCGGCGCTCCCACGGCGTTTTCTATAGGACGCGCCTTCCACACCACCCCCGTCCAAATCTGGGACAGCACCACCGGCGCCATCGCCAGCTGGGCCACCTCCTTCACATTCAACATTCGCGCTCCCGTAAAGACAAGAACAGCCGATGGATTTGCCTTTGCTATGGTTCGCAACGGGTCTCAGCCCAAAACCTGGGGTGGGTTTCTAGGGCTTTTCACCAGCGCTAACTACAACAACTCCGCCCAGACTCTCGCTGTGGAGTTCGACACCTACACCAACACCTGGGACCCTCTATACCGTCACATTGGCATCGACGTGAACAACATCAGGTCAATCAAAACGGCGCCGTGGGGTCTGGTCAACGGGGAAAACGCGAGGGTTCTGATTACCTACGATGGCAGGACCCGGCTTTTGGTGGCTTCATTGGTCCATCCTTCAAGCAGAACGAGCTACATCATATCCGAAAGAGTGAACGTGACTAAAGAGCTTCCCGAGTGGGTGAACGTTGGGTTCTCTGCCACCACCGGGCTGTCGAATGACTTCGTTGAAACCCACGACGTGCTCTCTTGGTCTTTTGCTTCCAAATTTCCCGATTCCTCCTCCTCTGATGCTGTCGACCTTGCCAGCTACGTCCTCCATGAGGCCATCTAGACTCCTACCTCGTGCTTCTCTGTGACAGCACTACTCTGCATGCAATAACACAATCGTAGAGATTGTTCTTTCTTACCAATAAATTTATCTGTCACCGAAATAAATAATAAATGTCATGTCTTTTACAGTGTTCGTTGTTGTTTGTCACTTCATTATTTTCCTGCTCATGCTCTTCATTTTAACCTCATCTCCTAATCAAGACAGAACAACACATACAAAACAATATTCAAATTCACTTGTTAATATAATATTTTCAGTGCGTAAATTTTTTTTTTTTACAACCATCCATTTACAAAAATTCAATATACAATCTTAAAATAATATTTTTTTATTGACAAAAAAATATAAAATAAAATAAACAAATAATAATATAAAAAATATTTTCAACATATCATTATTCTATTTAGTTTTCATATCCCATACGAAATGATGAGGTCTGCCCCACCCCTAATTTTTTTTAAAATGATTAAATAAAATTAAATAAAAAAAGGGGTCATACATACATGGACACCCCATACATCCAATAAGATATGTACGTCGAGAGAATGGATGTTTTTTTATAACCATAACAAAATAAAAATTTTCAATAAAAAATATTTTTTAAATATTAATAATTTTTTTAAGTTTTTTTTCCATTTTATTTATAATAAATATTATCTTTATTTTTTAACATAATTTTTCACTTTAGTTTTTTCACTCTCTTCTCTCCATTTTTTAATTTTTATATTTTTATCTTTCATATTTTCAGTTTTCTAGTCCAACTTTTTATATCACACTAATTTTTTTCTTTCATGTTTATATATTTCTCTTTACCATTGATTTACTTTTATATTCTTCTATGTAACATAAAAATTATAAGTTTTTTTCTTTAATTTTTTAATTTTTTTCTCTTATATAATTTCATCTTTATCATATAAAATTTATAATTTCTTTTTATTTTATTTTTTCTCTTCTATTCAAGTTCGAGAAAGACATAACGTTAAAAAATAAATAAGATATCTGACTATTTTTCATGAAGCAAATTTGTTTTCTTTAGTGTTTTTGTCATTATAATATCAACTTAACATATAGTGTAATACAAAGGTTAGTTGTTTTAATATTTTATGTTTTATTATAAACTCTTTCAAAAAAGAGAAAATCGAAAATAAATGGTTAGGTAAAGTTGTGTCATAAATTAATAAAAACTAGAATATATATATATATATATATATATATATATATATATATATATATATATATATTTGTTATACTAATTTGATTTATTCGATCTTTCTATATCTCTAAAATAATAAAATGTTTGGACGTGCATTTTTAACCATCATGATTACTAAAATAAGTATTTGGAATAATATGGACTAACATTTTATTAATTATTACATGATTGTCTACATTATACATGATTGTCTACGTTAAAAATGAGATTGTTATAAAATTTGATTGGATGAAATAATTGAATATTTTTATAATATGAAACATCATGGACATTGTTAAAATATACTTGATGTAACATTAATTTTTTTAAAATAAAAATGTGATGCAATTATTTATTTGACTTAATTAAATTATTAATTAGCCTTAAATAATAAAATTAAAGTTTTTTTTATAAAAGATAAAAAAATTGAGTTGTTAGACAAAAATAAAGATAGAAAAATGATGATAAAAGATAATCTTAGAAAGATAAAATTAAAAAGACATAATTTCTTCCAACACCTCTACAATTAAATTAAATCTTTATTTTAGCCTTACATATGTCTTCACCTTTGTAAGTGCTTATTTTTTGTTTTTAAACCTTTAAATATCTGCCTTTTAAATTCTACTAAAACATTTTTATTCTTCCTTATCTATTATTCCAAGAATGACAAGAAACAGTTAAGAATCTTTCACTGTTTTTAATTTGTATCACATAGCAAGATTTCTTGTTGGAAACACCATATGGAGATTGGGAATACAGTTCCTGAGATTGGAATTACAGTTTCAATTTTTTTGTCTGAAAACATGTTTCAGAAAGTGGGTTTCGATGTACAATTTCAAAATTGATTTTCCAAAAAATGCGTTCTGAATTGGTGGATCCGGAATATATTCTAGAAGTATATTTTAAACTCACCAATATGGAATACATTTTCAGAAATATAATTCAAAATCCATTATTTGGTACATGTGTTCTAGCATTTTTTTGGTCCAAAAATGTATTTTAATCCACTTTCCAGTACATGTTTCCAGCATTTTTTTTGTTCAGAAATACATTTCAGAATCCACTTTCTGGTACATGTTTTCAGCATTTTTTTTGTCAGAATGCATTTCTAGATTGATTTTTCTCAAAATGCATTATGAAACACCCAATTTAAAATGCATTTTTGGATTGAGTGTTCAGAAACTTAATCTAATTTTCACAAAACTGCTCCAGACCGAGCAATGTGAATCTGTGCAATTTTAGTGTAGGAACATGTAATAAATACATTATATTAATTAATGATTACTCATTTTTAAGTGTTGAAAATGATCTTGAATAAAAATGATAACAAAAGAAACCAAATCTGAGGATTTTTGAAGGTGTAGAAGATAAGCAATGGAGGCGCAGAACTTTTGCAGGAAAATAAAAAAAAACGGGTTAAGGTGTGAAACAAAAATTATTAAAAGGGTATTTTAGTTATTTTACTTGGGATATGGAGGTATAGGAAGAAAATGGTAATGATAAAACTGAAAAGATAAAACATAAAAGTAAATTGGGTTTTATTTTTAAAAGCCCAACTTCACTTGTTAGTATATATGTGTTAGGTCATTTCATTTTCATTCTATACCATTTAGTTTCTATTGCTTGGGAGAAATTTTGCGGAAGACAGGACATAAAGAATTTGGAGAGCGGTTCTTAAAGTAAGCAAGGTCATGTTATTAGAATTAGAATAGATTTTTTTTTCTTTTCTTATTTTAGCTATTAACTAGATTTTTGAGGTTCATATATAAGTTATAGATAATTTTATTAACTTTAAAATAACATAAAAATCAATACCATATTATTAGTATAACTATAAATATCATTTTTATACTGATGTCATAAAAGTAAAATATAAAATAAGTGAGATATTATCTAAAACTTAAGAGATATAATATTGACTTTCGATATGTAAACTTTATATATATATATATATATATATATATATATATATATATGTATGTATGTATGTGTGTGTGTGAAGGTATATATTGAAATATGTGATGATGAGTTATATATAAGAATGAGATGTTATATTATGAATATTTGTGTTTTGTTTTGAAGAATTTGTTAGTTATGATAAGTTGAAGTATTAGGATGTGCTTGAGAGTAACTTGTATATTTTGAGAAGTTTAAACAATAACTTAATAATACGAAAATTCAAGTTTTGTTTAATTATTTGAGAAAGTCAAAGCAATGACTTAGTAGTGTGAAAATCAAAGTTATGATATTTGAGATGGATTATGTATTTGTGTGTGATGCATTCACGTATATATATTTCACTCATTCATATTTTCTTAAGGGTGAATGTGATCTATGAAGGAGGGTCCTTATGTCTTCTACCTTGACCTTGTGAATTTTAGAGGAGGAGACCTCTTATGTGAGTAAGATGAGGGTCAATCACGATTGACTCTATTATGTCAACTGACTTCTTTTAGACTCGTTATAATTGAGAATAGATTAATAAAGTTATTGGGATCTGGTTCATCTACTTTTAAACCACTTAAAAAATGTGGTACCTTATAGATATAGAAATAAGAGCATAAAAGTATTTATACATTAAGTTAATTGAATAATTTTATGATTGAACATGTGTTGTTAAGGCGGTGATTATGTGTGTTTAGTTTGATCGATTGAGTTAATTAAGTAAATTTATGACTGAGTATATGTTGATAAGATGATGTTTGTGTGTATTAGTTTTATCCGATTTTTGTATGTGTCTATAAAGTATGTAAGATATATTTCTCAATCCTCAATTTTTGTTTGTATTATTTGTTGGGGATGAATATTGTTATGAGTGAAACAATTTTTGATAAGAAATAAGAGATTGGTGATGAAGATTAGGTTTCTTTTATCTTCATTTTTTTTAAGAGAATTCTTTTATGTTTTGTAAAGACAAACTCTAGTGTTTAGAGGTTTTATTTTGACATATTATT